ATTTAATAAGCATAGATATATAATAAATACCAACTTCGGCATTCGGCAACTTGTTATTTGGGCTTTCTGGTGATCGGGACTTTCTGCAGATATATGGGAAACTGACGCGACGGGGCCTTCTGGACCTGGTCTAGGCTTTCCTTCGCCAGGGATATGTATAACAACAACAACACGATTTTGATGTTTTTTCTCCAACCATCGTCACACGTGAATAGACATGCTTTGATAACGTTTTCGTTTAGCTCTTATTTAAATCTAGATTTACGATCGCCAACGGGCATACTTTTTGACTAGAAGACTTCAATTTTTTTTTACTTTTTTATATTCTGAAAAGATATATTAAAGGTGACAGTTACAGAACACCAGATATTCTTAACAATGTGTTCAAAAAATCATTGTTTTCAGCTTCTTGTTAGGTGTGTGGGGAAACCACTATACACATATACACAGTAGTGTGCAGCAAGTTGAATTTAAGTCGAATAACTTGCAGCAGAGCAACAAGTTGAATTTAAGTCGAATAACCTGCAGCAGAGCAGCAAATTGAATTTAAGTCGAATAACCAGCAGCAGAGTAGCAAGTTATGTATTTCCGTCAGTTATCAGTGTTTAAACCCAGACTCAAACCTAATTCTGCAGCCTTACAGGAAAAAGTTTTTAAAAAAATGTTTTATCCAGGCTAATTAGTTTAAACAGCTATTTTAATATTCCTGAACTAATGTTTAATGTAATATAACTGATTCAGCATCTTATTGTTACCGAGATTATTTCAACTATTTTAAACTGCCATAAAAATTGTATTTTTGCACAAATAAAGACAATATTTTGTTTCAAACTGTTTTGATAATAAAAAAACAGATATTTTTTATTTGTTGAGTTTGGTAGATAAAAAACAACGGGAACTGATTTCTTTTATGATTCAATTGTGTTTAAAAAAACAGACTTTAAAGAATTGAAATAGTTGCATTTTTTTGTCATTTAATACATAAAAAAAAGTTTAAAAAAAAACTGATTTTGAAATCAATGATTTGAACTGAAAAGAAAAGAAATACATTGTTAACTTTAAAAAATATTTAAAAAAAACTTAACTGGTTTTAAAGATAAAAGTTATTAATTAATATTGACATGCATATCATTTTATGATTTAAAATTAACTATTGATTTATTATGTTACTCATATTAGGTACAATAAACCTAATCATTTAAATTATAAAAATGCCTGTAATTTTACTATCACGTAAATAGATGTGATTGGTAATAGATGCATTCCACGCAGAACTTCACATCTTTAAGTAAAAATTAATTTTAAACAGTAAATTAAAAAAAAAACTTCCTTATCAAATTAAAGCATTATTGCAGTTTGCCTCTTAAGTACAATATTAATATACTCAGAGTCTGACTTAAGCTTTATAAAACTGGATGAAATGTTTAGCATATTAATTACGCAAAAAACGTGTCGATCTCTAATTCTGATAAAAATCAACTCTCCACTTTATGCTGTAAACTATGAACGATAACAGTTATTCTAAGTTCAAACTTTTATTAACTGGGTTATTCACTTAACTCTTAGTAATTAACGTTTTGTCGAGTAAATGCTTTGATAAAAAACTAAATTTAATTAACCTACTATTTGATGTTAACTTCATAAAATGTTCTAGCTGCCTCTAGAAGTAAATAAATATCGCCTTTAAAATAAAACATTTCAAGCAATACAGAGTTCGTATTATTTTATGTCATAGCAAAATATATATTTTAAATGGATTAGAAAAGCAGAAATAAAATTTTTTTTCTCTTCAGCGAGAAAAAATTCGGAATAAAATTTAAGTAAATTCTTACTTTTTATTTACAAGATCGTCAGCTTCTTCCGTTATTCCAGATTTTCAGAAATGTCCGATTACAATATTAGACTTCGTTTAGAATCATTCAGGATATTTTAATATAATGGTAAAGTTGAACAAGGCTATATACAACAAAAATATTTAATAAGCATAGCAGTACAAAAAATCCAGTAACACAGAATCAGGCATTTGTTTGATTGGTTATTGCAATTACATAAATTTTCAGGCTTGTGTGCTCAAAATAGGCTTATAAGCCTTCGTCAAGTAGAAAAGGACATATAGCACAGTAGTAGAGACAGCACCAGTACCGCCTCCAAGCAGCTTGCTATTCTTTAATGGTACAGCATTCATTTTGTTAGGATTGCGTGATCAATTAATGTTTATAAGCTTTTGTTAAGTTGAGGAACAGATAAAACAATACAGAGAAGTCCAGCACGAGCATACATCAAAGATAGCAGCGAGGTTCGAATCTGCTACCCTCACACTTTGTGCAGACTTTTGCAAATGATACCGCTCGACTATGGAGGGCCTTTATCTTGTTATCTTATATTTGTCTAAGATATCGCTAAGTATTATGCTTGTTTTCTCATTAAAATGTACCGCACAAAGTACATCACAAAGATACTTCAAGGGTTACGGCGGAATTTGAACCTACTACCTCGACGCTATGCTGCGTTTGGTGAAATGATGAGGCCAGTTTGTCAGAGAGTCCATATTACGACGCTGTCCAACTGAAAAACGAAAAGAAGAAACTAGAAAGCATCTAGGGAATCACAGATTCGTATTTTAAATTTTTTGAGCAACTTCTAGTTTTTGAAAAAATAGAGAGCGAAAAGAAAAGTATTGAATCGAACAAGGAAGCTAATGTCCAGGATCAGTAAATGAAAGATTTCAGCTCTTCATGTCTCCACAACCTATAAGATGCTTAATACTTACAAAGATTTAATTAAGGTGCGACCGATTTAATTTTAAATTGAAGTTAAAAAACTAAAATTTGCTTTTATTCTTTGAATTTAAAATTAAAAACATTGCATTGAAACTTTATTTACTTCGCACTAAAGCTGCACAATGGGCTATTGGCGATGGTCTGGGGAACACCCCTGAGAATGAACCAAAGACGTGCTATCTCAATTTTGATCCTCTGCTGAGGGGATGGCTCCCTTGCTTTGGTAACCCGACGACCTGCACGTGAATTCGAGCATTTTACGGTAGAACAGCTTAGCGAGGACCAATACCACCCAATCTCGGTTGATACGCAAACCGATCAAAATGGTCCCCCACCCGCTTACAGACCGCAGCCAGTGATGCTTAACTTCCGTGTTTAACTGGGAACCGTGTTTTTACGATCAGTCTACTGCGGGACCATTAAAACGATTACTTATTATAAGCAATTTAAGAGTATAGCAATTCGGACATGGTGGTCATTTAACACTAAGAGTTCTAAATCATGTGTGTTCCCCGTCTTGTTTATCATTTGTTTATTCGCATACAGATCCAAGTTTGTGTTTTCACGTCAAAGAACGATTAATAAACCCTTGTTAAATAGAACAGATAGTAAAAATCATAGAATCGTAGAAAAAGATACGACGGTATTGAAACCCATTGCTTCCACTTTTCAGAGTGTCTAGCAGACGAACAATACCTATCTCTTTTAAGTTAAAAAATTAATAATATTAAATTTAATTCAAAAAAATGGCGTTGAACTAAACGCTGTATGATTTTCTCTCAAAATCGTAAATTATAAGAGTTTTCTTATACTTCAGCCTTGAAACTTTCTCCTTTGAACCTAGTGTCTCAAGTGGCAATCCAGATCTATAATTATACGGCTATAATGTAATAGAAAACTTGATAATGGATGTAGGAGATTTAAATGAGTAAAATTGTCAAACATAGAAAGTATCACCATAAAAATATGAAAAATATTTTGTTTTCTTGTAAACTTCTTTTTCCTTTATACCCTTTTGTATTAATTAAAACTGTATTTGAAATTTAATCAATTCTTGGTTTACATGTAAAATATTTTGGTGTCAGTGATTTTGCTTATTTTTGACCATTAAAAATTTCTTTTTAATATTTAAATTACTAAAATGTAATGTCTTTATAAAATAGTAAATGACGAGAACTGCTTCAAGTAAAGACATTTTATCTTTAAAATTTTTTATTTATCACCATTGTACGTTAATAATACAAAACATTAATTTTTAGGATACATTTGATTCATTCATTTTCACAAACATGCAACAAATAAAAAATATTAAAAGTTAGTACGAAACCGAATACAGAATAAATTTTTATAAACCAAATAAATGTAAGAGAGAAAAAAAATTATGAAAAAAAGTATATATGTTACAAGAAGTAAAGGCTTAGGATTTTGAAATTATTTTCTAACATAAAGTAAAGAAAAACAGACATTTAAAAAATGTAAGTTTTTTTAGTTAAAAATTTTAATTTTTTATATGAGTGTCGTTTTTTTAACCAAATGAAATTACTGTATGATTCAATTTTAGTTTAATTAATTTGTATATTAAATACATCAAATTCCAAAAGAAAGGAACTTATTTATTACTGAATATAAATACAATTATAATTTAAAATTAAGCAATTACAGTATGACGGAATTCAATTAAAATTTATCTAAACGCAATTTTCATTGCAATTAATGGAAATTGTAGCGGTAAATAAGATTTTTACATATAACTTCTAAAACATTTTATAGTAAATATTGAAAAATGTGGACCCTTAAGATTATCATCATTATTAGACACGTGTCTTTCAAGCAACCTTTAAATGAAAAGTTTGAAACAATATAGCTATAAGCCCAATTCACGAAATTTTAAGAACGTTATTGATTCTCACGTTATAGAAAAAAAAATCACGATTTCCTAGTAGACAATAAAATGTCTCTCATTTTAATGTCTTCCAGAAGACATCTTTGCAAATTACTAAGTACCTATCTGTTTAAGGAAGAGTTTGATGGAAAAGCGTTACTCTTGGAAAAATTGTGGCTTATCACTATATTGCCCCAAGTACTTCATTTTAAATATTTACTTTTATTCTTCTTAAAACTAAAATAACATAAATTCTCAGCTTCATATGATTTTATCAAAATCCAATTCTAATTTGTTCAGTTAATAATTCAAATTCATCATGATTAAAGCACTTACATTTCTTTTATCATTTATACTTATATAATTTACAAATCTTTTTTATTATATATTTAACTGTACATACACACCATTTTAAAAATACACAGCAGATAGATATTTAAGCAAACAACACAATAGTTTGATTTAAAAAAATCTCGCATTCACACAAGTTTAACAGAGTTCGACATTGAAGATCTTCTGAGCGTCGTTGAAAGCTTATTGTCCGAATAATCTGAAAGATGCTTGTGGCTCCTGCCTTCGGGCAGAGAAAACCGGAGTTTTTCCCAAAAGCGCCTATCACCCCAATGTATTATCACTGCAGCTTTGAAACAAGCTCTTACATCACCATCTAACTCTTTGAAGTCTACTTTGTTCAAAAGAATAATGATAATTTTGTGTCGGCGGTTGCACTGACTTTCATGGTGGCATGCCTTTAGCTCAAAGAGACACCATTCACTCTTCAAATACTGTTCAGATATGACTGCGATGCTGCAGGAACTGCATTCAACAGCTTCTGAAATAGTTTCTGCCATGTACCGAGAGGCGGGAAGGTCTCTATACCTTAAGCACAGTCTTTGAGATGGCACACCACATTCCAATTCCGGTGCAACCATTTGCGTAACGAAAGCTTCATCTTTTTTGCAATAGGATACAAATGCGTCAAACAGCTTTTCATTCTCTGCCGGATAATCTCCTTTCTCGAACAGCTTAACACCATATTTGTTGTAGATCCACATTTTCATATTGTTGCGATATTTCCAGGCAAAAAATATCGCAGTTAGCATGAGGACTATCAGCATGGGTACTAAGATCACAATGGACATGTATTCCTCCACAAACTCAGCAGACGTAAAGGGTATTACACTGAAATTGGAACAGGAAGAATTGCTGTATTCAAAAAGAAGCATTGTTGTTGAATTGTTATAAATACAACGCAAACTACCTTGATCCACAACTGCATTGGGGTGTTTGACCATCCAATATTTAAACCGTTCTATAAAAGCACATTCACAGTTCCATTTATTGTGGCCCACTTTTACTTTGGATAGTGCTCGGTTGTATTTCAAGACCCAAATATTAAACTCTGAAATCTGGTTATGGTCCAAATAAAGTACGCGTAAGAACTTCAAATGCTTAAAAGAGTCGTGCTGGATTGATTTCAACCGATTATGGGACAAATAAAGTTCTTGAAGTTTAGTCAAATTTTTAAATTCATGGCCTTCTATCACAGGAATGTGGTTATTTTCTAGATGTAGAACTAACAAGTTTTGAAGTCCATTAAATGTTCTGTTCCTAATTATGTGAATGTTGCTGTTGTTGAGATGAAGAACCCGTAAGTTTTTGCGCCCGATAAAAGAATGACTTCCAATATGGCTCATATCATTGCCGTCAAGATAAAGATCTGTCACGTCCATGGGAACTCTATTTGGTACATGAGAATATCCTCTAAGATTACAGTCCACCATGTTAGTGTTCCAAGTTTGATCAGAGTAGCATGTACAATTTTCTGGACACACCATTTCACAATCGCAAGCATCGAATTCACAGCAATGACAGAGAGCGAAACAATGAATGCGGTATTTGCATAAAAAATCTGAGGGTTTAGTCACTGACATCGGCAATACTGCATTCTGCCGAGGCAACGTTACATTGCACATGACATCGCCAAGATCTGTTATCATAGGATACTGGCGCGTTTCGTCTTTACTTTCCATGCGCAGGAGCCATTCCATTGTACAATCACAAGTTAATGTATTGTTTGAAAGTAGAAACTCAGGCAAGGGATTGTTCATTGGTATACTTTTAAGCCGGAATGCATTGATATCAAGATGGCTAATTGCATTTCCTGTAAGATCAACAAATGAGAGATTGGTTTTTGCAGTAAAAGTGAATGGTCCAATTACTGTTATTCTATTCCATCGAAACGACACGATTTCTATACTGTTTGGAAGGGAAGCTGTTGTTAACTCTCTGATAATATTGTACGAAGCATCTAAATTCCTTAAATGCATAAGTTGTTCCAATTCGAAGTAATTTCCCAATCCATCCACTTCATTTTGATGTATATCCAAAATCTTAAGATCTGTTGGTACAAGTGCATAATCAAACCATGTTATATTATTTCGGGATGCATTCAGAGTATGAAGGTACCGTAAGTTCATGAAAAGTCCATTTATATCGGTCAAATGATTGTCGTTAAATTTAGCAACTCTTAACTCGGGGACATCGTCAAACAAGCTGTGTCCCAAAGACATTATTTTATTGTTAGAAAAGTCAAGAGTCTTCAGTGACGAGAGATCTTGAAAGCAGCCTTTCGTCAAGTTGCCGATTTGATTTTTCGCCATGTGCAAGCTGACAATTTTTTTCAAGCCCTGAAATGTTGCATTGCTGATGTTATAAATTTTGTTGTGAGTTAAGTCGAGGTGCCTTAAAAGTGTTAAATCATTTATGGATTTCGGAAAATCAACTAATTTGTTAGATCTGAGTTTTAAGTTTTGGACTGACTTGCAATGAGAAAATGCCAGTGGGTGTATGCCTGTTATATCATTATTACTCAAAGACAGATAATTTAAAGACTCCAATCCCTTAAAAGTGTTCGCATTAACATACTTTAGTTTATTTCCTAAAAGAGTCAACGTGTGAAGATTTCTCAGGGATGCAAAGGAATTATCACTAATATTATGAATTGCATTGTAGCTTAGATAAAGTATTTGGAGGCTTCTTATCAAATGGAAATTCGTCTCCGTAATAACTTGAAACCTGTTATGATTCAAATCCAGGACAAACAAACGACTTAAATCCGCTAAAGTTTCAGATGAAATTACGTTTTCTAGGGAATTATAACTCAAATTTAATCCCACCAGCTGCCTTAAGCCTTGAAACGCTCGAGGCGTTAACGAACTGAGAGAATTATTCTGAAGATAAAGCTCCAAAATGTCGGTTGACTGCTGAAATATTTGTTCCGGTAGATGACTGATTCGGTTATTGGACAAATCTAAACTCTGCAGTCTGCTAAGGCCACTGAACGCATAGGGATAGAGTTCAGACAGCTGATTGTTGTTTAAATAAAGGACCTTTAATGACACTAGGGAGGAAAATATCCCATCAGGAATGCTTTTTAATATATTGTAAGATAAGTCTAAAATGATAAGATCAGATAAACATTTCGTAGTCTCTATTGATCCTAAGCCTATATTTCTGGCATCGTCTAATTCGCTATTGGTAAGGTTCAAAATATTTAGATTTTCTAAGTTGCAAAATAAGTTTGCTGGCAAAACGACGAGATTATTATGATCAAGTTGCAATTTATATAGTTTCTGTAGTCCTGCGAAAGTGTCTCCTCTAAAAGTAAGTGGTTTGGAATTAGTTTTATTTAAGTGTATTGTTAAATTGGCTAGATTCGTTAAGCCCCAGAAAGTGGCTTCTGGAAAATTCGGAATGCTGCAACCTTCAATGGATAATGACTTCACATTACTTAACTTGCTAAATGTACCATTTGATACCGAATGATCTTTATTGTTACCATCACAAAATATGTTGATGAAGCTAGGCGGGTCGGAATCAGTTTCTCCAATTTTACTTATACTTTGCCAACTCCTGACTCTGCAGGTCATGGTGGATTCTTCATCTATATTTGTTAAGTCGCATTCTTTAGCAAAAACTTGTGCGCTGGTTAGATTGCACAAAATGCACAATAAGCAAAACACAAAATGTGTCGTTTTTATTTTACTTCCAATGGAAGCAACGTGAGGTAAGATCACTCTATCAAAAAACGTAAGGCACATTAACTGAGAGTTCGCAAAAGCATTTTTTAGTGAATGTTCATTGCTGCGAGTACCATGAAAATCTCTACATTTACAGTAGACTTTCATAGTCTTTAATCAAGAACTATCCCTTTCTAGTATACAAGCAATAATTACGTGTGCGTCATCTTATATGCAAGACTTGTATTAGTATTGAAAGTTAAAGTAAAATTTCTTCCTTCATTTCGATTGTAGCATTCAAATGTTTTCATTTTCATTTTGAGTGTAATTCTGTTGAATATTGAATTATTTAAAATAATTTCAACATATTCATTGAAGATATTCTGAATAAAAACAGCTGAAAATATTCATCACGCACCATTGCGAGTTTAGTATTCATCTTTCCATCTTAAATCCATACATATATTTTTTTCTTTAAAAAAATACCCAAGTATTCTTGATTGGTTTAGGAATAGTAGTATTTGGAGTTAGCATTTTCTTATAGCTTTTTGAAGCAATTTCGTGAGTCATGTGATTTTGTTTCATTTCCCGGAGCAAGAAAAATGTCGATATAGGTAGTCTTTTTTTTCCTTCTATTTTTACCACTTCTTTTCTTTTTCCAGAGAAATCGATTCAAATAACATACTTGTAAAGAAATCACGAACTTTTCAATTCCATCTGAAAAAAGGAAGAAAAAAAGGAATTAGCCAGATAAAACTTGTTATATGTTAATTTAACAAAACTCGAAGTAATTTAAGTCAAAACTTTTAGCTGTTCAAAATATGATTGCTTTGAAAATTAGAATTTTTTTCCTTCTGTAAAGTAAATTATAGAATAGTTCAAGTAGGCAAAAATAGAAAAAAGTAATGACTTTCAGTAAATTAAATTTTCTTCCAAAATTAAAGAGAAGATTTTAAAGAAAGATGAGCGTATTTTTATCACCTTAGCAGCTAAGTGAATATTCTTAAAAAAATTAAACAAAAATGATTGAGTTTTACCGAATATTTCAAACAATGCTTCGGTGAAAGAAATCTAATTAACTAACTTATTTTAAGAATCTAAATTCATCTTTTCGTTTAAAACATGAAAAATATTCTTTCTTTTTTTGCTTTGAAAATTTTGTAATGAAATTTACATATAATTTATCATGAAAATTAAATCTCTAAAACTTGCAAAATTATTAAATAAATGTCAAATGCTATCTTTTGCATTGTTATCATGATGATTTCAACAACTAATTTTACAAATTTTGGTTTTAATATTTAAAAATATATAGAATATGGAATATATTCAAAAAAGTTCCTGGTGGAGAAAATCTAAACAACTTAACTAACTAACTAATTTAAACATAATTTCTCGTTTCTGTATAAAACAGAAAATGTGTTTTGTTTCTCAAATTTATACAGATAAATTATTATACTTTTGGTTTTTGAAGCGAAAATTAACTTATTTCTTTGAGTAAGATTTTGACTTAACATGGTGACAAAATAGTATTGACTTGGAAAGCAAAATAATTCCATATTTATATTTTTATAATATAATAAGTTCTTCCTTTCTGTAAAAAAAGATAAAAAATAAATTTTATAAAACTTTCACGTTTTTCAGAATGAAAATTAAGTTATTTATTTAAGAAACGTGAAATGTATTGAATAATAAGAAAAATAGTAGATAATAGAATAGCGTAAATAGGGTTACCGCTAAGGTAATATTGTCAAAGTGAAGTATTATTGATTATTCACTGAATTTTACCAAGGAAATCAAGCATTGTTTAGGTGAAAAAAAAATTATATATCTCACTTGAAGAATCTAAATTTGTATTCTTTTTCGAGCATAAATCTTAGAAAAATTAACTTATCATCTAGTTCGGATTAACGATAAGAATATTTTTTGTATCAGAAGCAGTAAAAATTGTAATTTTTTGTTGTAAATTTATAAAAATACAAGATATATACAAATAAATAAATTTAAGGCAATTCCGTCTTTTCTGGGTAGTATTTTGAACTAGTCCAAAGTTTCAAGTTCACAAAATAAAGCAAAAAGGGAGAAGAGGTAACAAAAAAAATTATATTAGAGTGAAGATATTTAAGTTTACACCTAGAAAGCGCTAGAAAGAGCAGTTCAAATTCTATTAATGTCAACGCTAAAAGCATCTACACTATACTAAAAATTGAAGTTTCTGTTTCAGAATGAAAGATGTCACCACGGGCAGGTGCACAAAATATTTTTCTTCTTTCGAAATATGCAATTTAGTATGTTCTTTTAATCGTGTTTCATAGATTGTAAAAAAATTATAAAGTTTTGAGTGTAACATTACTGAAAAAAATTATTTTAAACTATACCTACAAATAGAAAATAATAAAACGAAATTCATTGTATATTTTACTTTTATAAATGCCTAGATTGTATTTAATAAGTTTTATATGATCATGTTATACAATACCAGTATTCATTCATAAAAAACGAATCATTTAATGTCTTTCTTGGAGCTAAATAATTAATACTTATGACTTACATTATTCATAAAACGAAACACAAAGCTAATAAAGCACAAATGAAAGTACATAAATGGAGATAATACAGTTTCAGTTCAATTTTTTATTTTATTTTATGACCGCCGTTGAACAGTCGACCCTTCAGTTCAATTAACAATAACATTCCTTAGTGTCTAAATGTTGAATAAAAGTGTAAACTTTCTTCTTTACCACTTCTCTACCTTCATTTGACGTTCAGCTCAGTGGAAGGTTCTTGTTTATAAAACTGAAACTGTACATTATCCAACTGTCCATTTATGTGCTTTCATTTGTGCTTTAGTCAAGTCTTTTAATTTGTTTTTGCTTTAGTCTACATAGCACAACGTATACTCTACCCTGTGTTGGTTACATTATGCATATTAATAATTCTGTAAATTATTCATTATTTTTATAATTTTTAAAATTCCTATTATTAAATATTAAATATAAATTCTTTTTTTTTCGTAATTATTTGTTCTTTATGTATTACAGTATTGACGAACCGAATCAGTGTGTGGCATTTGTATTCAGCATCTTTCAAAACTTGAAGGTAAATGGCTATATAATGATAAGTGACTTTTTCAAATGGTCCCGAAGAAGTTTTTCTGAGAATCTTTTCCAAGAAACACACCACGATTTCTATGTAGGCAATGTATATCTTTTTGCATTGAGCTGCAAAATGGAAATTCAGGACACCTCTTAAGTACTTATTTTGAAACAATACAGAGGACCAGTTTGATGTAAAAATGATATTTTTGGAAAAATAATGTTGATATATATCTCCAAGTGCTTTAATGTTTTAATTACTATTGATCTCAGACATAAAAATATCGCTACCTATTTTTATGTTTTAATTAAATAAGCTTCCAATGCGTTGCAAACCATTAGTTTTCGATTGAATACATATAAGGGTGTATTTCTTATATTTTGCAATACATAATTTGCTGAATGTTAAAATATATNATATATATATATATATCGTTCAAGGAAGTAAGATAAAAAATTGTGAGGCCTACATCTAAAGTAAAATGCTTTAGAATATATTCCGAAAATAAAAATGCAAGATTAAAAAAAAAAGATATTAAAAGGAATTGCATCAAATATTTTTTTTTCTAGAAGAACTCTAAGTAATAAGTTCAGATCCGTAAACATTACTTTACTAATAATGCATGGATAAGCAAAATAACTTTCTTTTAGATAATGTTCGCCAAGAAAACGTGAGTAAAAAGTAAATGATTCAAAAGAATAAAAATGTTTTGCTGCGAACAATCTAAACAAAAACGAGAACCATCAACTTAATCGGTGTGGTAAATTTTTCATCACCTATTCAGAAAGATGAAAAAGTGCACTTTTCCCTTTTAATAGCACTTTGGAAAGTTCTCTATGTTGTGGTTATGTCAGTTATGGAGTTTGTCATACTTTTTTTTTATTGCTCTTTTCTTTTCCTCCAGCACTCATGTCATCTTTGCTAATTCGAAATCAGCGGAAACAATAATGAAATTAGGGACCATCCAGAAAAAAACTAAAACTCGTTAAAAGAGATTGCTCTTACATTAATTGCCAATTAATACCACAATTTCCGCATCCATAATTAAATAACATGACTATCACGCAAGGAGAGGTAGTTAGTTGCTGTTGCATTTTGGGTAAAACAAGATACGGAGCATTTTAAAGCTTGTGAAAAAAAGTCTCTAGAACTTCCGAATAATTCTTTGAACGATGCAGTAAATATTTGCATATTAATTCGATTTCAGCGCAATGTGTCTTTAGCAGTAATTTCATATTAATGCACTATGCATCTACAAGGAGTTTTTGAGATAAATAATGCAGCTTTTTTTTCGTAATGAATTAGGCAGTTTTTCAGATACTAAATTATCTTCTAGAAAATGCTATGAGTTTGAGGATACATTTTACGAAATATAATGCACTTAAATCCTTGTCTGAATTTTTGCATATTTATTGGTTACAATTAAAAGTAACTTAATTTAAATGATTTTGAGTTTACTGAAAAAAAATACATTCAATTTGTTTTAATTTTTTTTTCGTAAACGTATTTAATAAATTATGTTTAAAGGACAGATTCTATACTCTTTTTCATAAATTAGTTAAATATTGATTTATATATTGAGAAAAATATGCCAGTAAAATTATCGCTCTGTTTGGTAATAGCATTTATTTTAAGAAAAAAAGCATATTTCTGGCCATAAAAACCAAAATCTATATGATTGGTATTTAAACCATTTTATACTTTCTTTACACTTTCTGATACTTTTTCCATTCACATGGTAATGGTTTACTGGAATTTCTGGTTTTCCAAATTACAGTCCTTATTACCACACATTTAGTAAAAAATGCTAACATGACAAGTAAATTTAGCTGAATAAATGGTTTTTGTGTTAAAATTTAGAGTATCAAGATAAAATTACCACATTGCAAAGCATTTTCCAAATTTTATTGTATATTTTAAAACCTTATATTATTATTAATAAAGCAAAATCATTACCACATCTGTTCAGCAAAATCTACCCATCTTTTTGGTTTTTCCATAAAGCTAAAAACACCATAAATTTTGACATATTTTGATAATTTTGATCATACTTTTTTTCTCATTGCAGAATTTACTCCTTCCCACCTATTTTCTTTGTTTATTGTACGAAATTTACCAATTTACCATTTAAATATATGAAGGCTATTAATCGATCTATAGCTGTTTAATGCTATTCCTTTACCTGAAAAATGCCTCAAAAAATGATTGCCACTTGCAAAATTTAATGCATTAAAATAACTGTCTCAAAACGTATGTGTTTACGGGAACTATTTTGCATATTTGGTGTCTGAAAATAAATGTTTTTTAGTATACACGATGTCATTGCTAATAATTTATATATTGAGATATTTAAAATGGTTAAAATATTTTCCCGTGCACGGTATTCGATAATTTGTTTTAACTGACTGATTCTATGTGTTTTTATTAAAAAATCTGTTAAATATTGACTTACAACATATGGCTCAGTGGACATTAAAGTACTCTCTCTTCCTATTATGTTGTGCGAATGTAATTTATCCTTTAAACTTATGAAGACGAATTTGAGATTTTATCATATCTTGCGTTTGTGATTCATGAGCAGTATCAAAATTTGACATTATTAATGAAGTTTAAGTGCCTTT